GCTAGGAACGTATTTTATCTCGAACTGCACCTAAAATTTCATAAGGTTTCATGATATAATAGTACCTGAAGCATTTTGTCATCAGAAGGTCACGAAAAACATGTTTCTGGTTCGCGGACTATACGTTCGCTTCAAGAAGGTTTGTCATATTATTGATAAAAATTGACAAAAACTATATAAATATGTAACTAAATATTTTATTCATTTTTAATTTTTTTGGGCATTTGTTGGAAATTTATTTAATAACTCATGTTAAACTTATTAGATATTGTATTGGATTAAGATGATATGGTAATTCCATCTCGAAAAACAAAACATGTTAGGCAATTTTTAGATACGGTTAGTCTAAATGGATTTGATTCTTTAGCTTTGCCATCGGGATAAACGATTATTACTAATATTACTGATATTGGTGTCAATGTAAATTTATTTTCTGCCCTACTATGTAGTTTTACTATAGTAAATCTTATCGCTTATAATATAAATAAAATTGGAGTGTCTGTTTTTAATATTGAAATATCCGTTTTTTGCATACGAATATAAATACGGTACATACGCCAAAAGTAGAATTTTTACAATTTTTGTCTGTCTGTTTGTTCCGGCTAATCTCTAAAATGGCTGGACGGATTTTGACGGGAATGTTATTAGCAGGTAGCTGATGTAATAAGGAGTAACTTAGGCTACTTTTATTTTAGAAAAATAAAGTTAAATTCCACGTGGACGAAGTCGCGGGTGCAGCTAGTCGTGAATAAAATCATAGAAATCATTCACTTTGATTGTCGATTCGATAAAAACTCGTAACAAATGAGGTTGACGTTAGTATTAATTAAATTTCTCCGTAATGCATGTGCCGTCTCTAAGGATTTTTTCCCACTAGCACGGCGGAAAGCTATTATTGACACCTGGTGGTAACCATTCAGTTAAAAGGTCTATAAATTCGCCAAATTGCCATTCCCACGTGGGAAATAGCAGTTGCATGGATCGCCCAGGGGCATCTTTTACAGATTTTGCACTAATGGTGATTTGCAGTGAACATAAGTAATAAACTACAACGGATAAACCTAAGTAACTATAATTGAAGATGTTTTTAAGATCTTCATACGAAGGTCACGTGATCAATTTTGTAGGAAAATATTTTCACTTTGTTTATTTATGAGGTATTCTTAGTAGAATGCTAAGTTCGCCTATGAATACAGTTTACAATTAACTGTTAAAATATATAAGGCTTACTACATTTTACTGTAGGGTTCATTATTGTAAATCAAATAGGGCTGCTAATAGCATTGATTGAAATATCACTTATTTTATGAATCATAATACAAAATGTCTGAAACATTTGAAATAGATTCATTCTATATAGTAGACATTTGGGGGTCTAGGGGGAGATAGAAACTTTCCGAGAATCTGACTCATTTGTTATATTGGGGAGTGAGATCAGCATTATACCTAAGTAAACAAACTGGAAAAACTATACAATGAATACTTTTATGGTAAATAAAGGTTACCTCTATCGACGTTTCGACTAGTTTGTACTCAACTCGTGACCACGGCGGTCACGAGATGACTATTAGGCTAACCGACAATAAAAGAAGGTATTTTTTATAAAACTCGTTTAATTAATAATGTATACTAAATGAGAAATTTTAAAAATACTGGAAAATTACTAGCAAAACAAGTACCTAGTTTTCATTAAGGAATAACTTGATTTAATAAAAATATAAATTTGGTTAAATCATTAATTTCACTTATAACTGATGTAACTTCAGTAAATCTTACACACAAAATCGCCAAAGATTTAATAAAAATATAAATTTGGTTAAATCCTTAATTTCAACTTATAACTGATGTAACTTCCGTAAATCTCAGACACAAAATTGCCACAGACATTTTATTTTATTTATATAACTTCAATGCACAAAATACCAAGGTAAAAGTACATATGGCGGACTTAACGCCTTACGGCATTTTCTACCAGATATCACTTTATCTAGATGATAATTCCTATTTCTCAAGTATTATCATTCCTAAAATACATTGCATTCATACCCAGGAATATAACCATCAAAAAGTTCGGTGCAAAAAACTTATTTACAGCGTAAGTCCATAAGTCGGAAAAATAAAAATATCCTTAAATATTCGAACAACAGCTACTATTCTGGGAATATATTGTATCTCCTTTAATCTCAACATAAATAAACAAATCTCTTGTTCCTATAATGTGTGTAATGAAAAAAAGGTGAAATATATAATGGGCGTACAACATTGGACTATACTTCAAACATTTAATATCCATGGTACAGGTGCGCTCTTCACTAAGATTAAGGCTAAAGCTGTAGCGATTAAGGTATAACTTTCAATATTTACAAGTTTTATGTCTATTAAAATTATATAAAATGATACCATGTTCGTATATCATAACACTATTTATTATTCCATTTATCATAACACTACTTTTGTAGTTAGCCATATCTACTTTTGAAGTTACATATATGTAATATTATGTTATCTGTGCATATACTGAATAATTTAATCAGAAATCTCGAGGATCACGTAGATAATCATCATCATCATCATCATCATCATCGTCATCATCATCATCATCATCTGCTTCTTCCTTATCCCATTTAATTGGGGTCGGCGTAATATGTTTTTCGCTTTGTGGTTTTTATGATAGTATGATCACATAGATAATCATAATCATACTATTATAAAAATCACAAGCATTGTTAAAAGTGTATGATTTAAGAAGACTTGTTAAAAATATACCTGAAGACTTTTCTTACCATTGTAACTTTAGAATAGTATAGAACAGGGTAGGCGAACCAATGGCACGCGTGCCATTGACGGCACGCGACACAATATTTTGGGCACATCGTCGGTCATAAAACTGTTTGAAGAAGCTGGCTCATGCTATTTTAACAATATTTTCACCTACCTATGCCTGCGAGTCATAGATGAATCAGAGATGAATAACATTAAAAACTCGGTTGGATGAATCCAGTCCAGCATGCATTTTGCTAAAAGTTACATCAACAATCCTGACATAAATTATTTCTCATCTAACCTGCAGCAATAGAAGTCACACTAATTTTACAGTAATTTAATTTATGCGTGTAATTAAAACAATCCAAAATGTACCTCTTTTGTTTACTTTATTTCATAGACATTTTGATAGTATTTATTATTATTATTTTCCAAATAATCAGAAAGTCAAAATTATTTGATGGCACGTCAATGACCCCATTAAACATTTATTGGAAAAAATTGCACGTTGATGCATAAAGGTTCTCCTACCCTGGTATAGAATATAAAATTATTTCCTTAAAAAAACTGACATTGAAGCACTTTTGTACAGTCATTACTTGATTTTTTTAATCAACAGCTCATTTTGAAAGATGTCTTATCACAAGAAGAACAAGCAAATATCTTGCGTGAAGCTATTAAAAATAAATTAAATTGTAACTGTACATTTTTAAGGTGATATCTGTGAATACAAGTTATCTTTAATAACTATATTTTATATTAAAGTAAAGAAAAGGGTACGCAATTACTTCGTTCATGATTTGAAGAACCGCTTATGCTTTTCACTTAATCCAAACCTCCTGTAATTCTTTCTCTCCAAAATATTAATTTTCGATAACAGGTGTGTTTTCAATGTACTTTTATATATTAATTAAGGAATTCCAATAACTCGCATTTTAATAGGAAATAGGTTACGTTGAATTGTGAAAAGTTTGTCTCAGTTTACTTTTGGATATTGCGAGCATACTTTACAATTTATATATTATAATGAATATTAGTTGCTACCTAATACTGTATTTATGAAGTATTTTAGTTACCCAAATATTCCTTACAATTCTCCAAGTTTTTTTATTAACAATTATGGCAAACAAGCTGATGGTACGTGGTAACTGTTATTTAGTTATTAACATACAGTCTCATAATTTACTAATTTTCTAAAATGGCCGCTCAGTGTAACATCATTAAAACTTTTATGACATAATAATTATGCATGAATATTGTTAGGCGCTCATTTCATTGCACAGTCACGTGGGGACTTTGTCTCCGCTTATATTAAAGTCTTTTTAATCCAGCTAAAGTGATATACCTGCTTAAATATTTATTTATATTATATATGTGAATATGCATACTATTTTTGTCCGTTGAATATATTACAAAACAATCTACTGGATCGCTAAAATAGGTGAGGCAAATGTACACACGCAGAAGATTTTCTACCTCGGTAAAATAAATTAACTACAGTATATTAGTATATATAGAGTACCATTAACCACAAGAATTCCAAAGTAACGAAAAGGCACATAGTTACAAGTTCGGTACCAGTTAGTTTGTACTCGGTGCGTAGTATTTGCGATAGCTCCAACTTGTTCTAAAATATCACATGCAAAATTTAAAAAAAAATCATGCGAAGTAGGTACTAATCCGCTATTCTAAATTCAAATTTGAATGTTATTGTTCAATTTTAAGCTTAAATATTCTGGTGGTATAATTATTTTTTAAAGTTGAAACACGGATAACTGTATGAGAGAGACTAATTGTATATAAGAACTAGTAACCTAAGGTAACAGTAAGGCTTCGTATAGGTCCAATATTAATTTAACTTTTAAACTGTTCGCAACATTGTAGTAAGTAAGTACACCTTTGCAAAAAATGCATTAATTTAGAAGGATTTACGTAACTGTAGCCGTTTACGAAGGGTATGTAGCGGAAGAACTCAAAATAAACATTTATCATTGCTGCTACGCTCCCATTAGTCGTAGCGTGATATTACATAGCCTATAGCACTCGGGAATAATATATAATAACTTTTCTAATAGTGAAACATTTTTTTTAATCGAATTGCCAGAATCAGAGAATACCTCAAGTAAACAAACGTACAAACTTTACCTCTTTTTATTTAACGATAATGCAACCTTGTTCAGATAAATAACAAACCAAAAATATTTAGTAACTATTTATTTCTATTCATCTTTGGCGGAAATACAATATATTTATATAACAACATCGGTGACATTATATTAAATCTTTAAAACAGTTCAAAAATGGTTAAAAAGATATATATTCTATTTGTTTGTTAAGAGAGATGATTCTGTGTTAAATATCCACAGTCAAACTATACGATATTTTCACACTATTGCTGGTAATTAAAAAAATGTCGCCAAATCAAATAATATAATATTTACAATAATAAACACTATTAAATAAGTTATTCAACATAAAATATATTGTAACATTCAAACATTGTTTCTCCTCAAACATACATAATCAAAACAGATACAAATTAATTATTTATAGGTACATTGTAAAATAATTTTATTAAGTAGAAAATGAAATTGCGTTTTAATCATTTTATACTTAAATTTATAACTTTATTCCTATAAATTCAATAAAAACAAAACACTATAAGATACATAACTTGAACTGCTGGGTTTAATACTAAATTTTACGCAGATGTTCCTACTCACATGTAAGATGTTAAGAAGTAAATAAACACAACGAAGCCGTATTTCAATATATGGGAATGGGAAATAACAACTTCTGAAATGGTAAAAACATAGGAAACCTTCGTTAAATATTAATAACAAATCCAATATGAATTTTAACATTTATCTGGTTAAAAATCACAAAAAATGTATTTTTTAAGAAATATATAATATAATTAAAGACTAATTTTATACATAATATAATTTTGATTTCATGTTCAACATAAACAATTCGTCTGTTAATTTATATCTATACAGCAGAATGTTTTCCAGTTATGATACCCGTAGTTTTATTGTATTCATATTCCTTGTGCTTTATTCCCGGTTTATTCAAACTATCTTCTGTCACTGACTCACAGTTTGCTCTTAATAAACCTTTTTTGTCGCTGAAAATTGGTATACGTCCAGTGTTAGTAGCCATTATATCACCAAAAGTAACCATTTATCATCACAGTTCATATGAATTTGTAGAACAAGCGTGCATGCACCCTTTACTCAAAGTATATTAAAGGAAATTTTTAGGTATTTTTGTTGGTTATTCACTATTGATATATAATCGTCTCCTGAAAAGATTATTAGTGTCTTATAACATACATGTTATGTATTGTAGAAAAATATAATTATATATCATGATAATATCATCTATTTATTTTCTACTTTCTCACTTTCACTTCACATTTTTTTTAATGTAAACAAGCTGCCGGTTCACATAGGGATGGTAAATGTTATCTTTGCACATCAACATTACCACGAAAAATGTCATTTTGTGATTTCCATGGAATTCTCATTCTACCCCATTGTTAATTTTGAGAGAATTCATAACGTAACATTAAGAAAAATTGTGTTTTTTTAATTATATAATTAAATTAATTAATATAAAATATTGTTTTTAGAAAAATTATTAATTCTACGAGATTAATAATAAGATATGGTTATGAATATAAGTTAAAATAAATATTATATTTAACCTTTTTATTATTAGAATAATAAGTTACAACAAATTAATAAATATATTATTAAATTAATAATTTTCAATAGCTGTAGTTAGATTAAATAAAATTACTCTCAAAATAATTATTTCAAATCTTACCGTGTTTGTAAGTTGTCGTCCTTCCTTTTTTTGTTTTTCTTGTAGTAACAATTAGCTATAATTCCTTGTTGTCTCCAAATAAGAAGTATCAAGTCCAGTATTAGTAGAGCTAGTAATACTACTACCACGGCTATACCAATTATAGCACCAGCCGATAGCACCGGCGTATGCTCCGTAACTAAAGCTAAAATGAAAAAATCACAAATTCACATTCATGTGTCTTTATGAATTGAAAACTTCCAATAAACATACGTTAAGACTAATAAATTCAATATAATCGCATGATCAATTTAAAATAAAATTTTGATTTTTTTTTAATTATACATTTTTTCTTGGTCATAATTGTTTTGTGTTGTATGTTATCTGTGTTTCAGTTTGGTATATTTCTTTACTACCACGGCTATACCAATTATAGCACCAGCCGATAGCACCGGCGTATGCTCCGTAACTAAAGCTAAAATGAAAAAATCACAAATTCACATTCATGTGTCTTTATGAATTGAAAACTTCCAATAAACATATGTTAAGACTAATAAATTCAATATAATCGCATGATCAATTTAAAATAAAATTTTGATTTTTTTTTAATTATACATTTTTTCTTGGTCATAATTGTTTTGTGTTGTATGTTATCTGTATTTCAGTTTGGTATAACTCTTTACCGCTAATCAAGTCGAAATAGATAGTACAAGGGGTTAATAAATTGATATCAAAAGAAATGTATCCAAGAGACGGCGATATTTTACTTATTATTCGCTGTGCCCATGGTTTCTATATTATTGTAAAGTATTATACTATTGTAAAGTTCCATTCAAATCTATTGAGTAGTTTTTGCGTGAAAGACTAACAAACATCCATTCCTTCATTAACACTCACAAACTTTCGCGTTTGTAATATTAGTACGATCAATATCAACATCAAGCGTTACGTTCATCACAGCGTCAATGGTTACGATATATTTGACTATTCTATCTGAAATGATGGTGATGAGATAATCGCAATGACATATTATGTTTATAGACATTTTCTTATTATAGACAAACAATTTCTTTGACTGCTCAACGATTTAAATTCATTATGACCGGAACAATAACCTGTCCAAACCATTACCTGCCACATGAACAGTAATACTGGCAGCATCTGAATCCCCCATGTGGTTATGTGCAAGCAGCTCTATACAATACGTCGTATTTGTATTAAATATATTTGTGTTCAACTGTAATTCATTTATTGTGTTGATGTTCATTTTTTTGCACGACTCCTCATCAATCTCGCAATTCTGTAATAAAATTAATGTTTTTTTATCACTAGTAATTATTTTCAATGTATTATATATATATACCATCAATATTACAAATTTTATATAAGTTGTTATAGTATATGTGGGAAAGAGAAGGAAGCATTATGTCGCCTCTAGCGCACACTGCTGGCGTCATGCGACTATTACGCTGTGACCGGCGAGTGAGAAAGGTTATGTGTGTCTGATCATATCATATCATGGGACCGTCATCTTTTTTCCCATGATGATTACCTATATTCGTTGACCACTAATTTACAGTAACTAACAAATACTTACCAGACAATAACGTAGTGTATAATAATCTATAGGGTCACCGTTATCATCCGCCGCTTTCCACTTGAGTAGTTGGTTGGGTTTCGATACATTTACCACTGGGGAATCCACTTCCCAAACAGGTGAGTTTGGTGTTGACCTAAATAATATTATAGTTGAAAATCATAATTATAATAACCGTAATAAAGACAATCCTCCCAGCATTGAAAACAGAGTTTGTGTATTAGGTACAAGGCAAGAATAGATACAAATGTTTTTCTTGTAAGCACAAAAGGTATACATACTTAGAAAACCAATATAAACAATCAGACTCATGAATATAGATTATATCTTTGCGTCGTGCGAAGAATCGAATTCGCAACTATCGTAATGAAGCTGACACTCTTAAAAAATAATTATCTAGGTATATATGTAAAATGAAAATCACATATCCTTACTACCTAAGTTAACACTTACGGTTTAAGCGTCTCAAAAATAAAAGGCGCGCTCCACTCTCCGATGCCAACTTCATTTTGTGCTGCGAATTTTATGTTATAAGTCGTTTGAGGTTTTAATTTATCTAATTTAAACTCTCTGTCAATGGACCAAGTTCTATTTTTGTGGATATCTGTAATACCATAATTACTAGCCTCGTCGTATTCGCAAGTGATGCCTATTATTGGTGGTCCGACCAAGTAGTCCGGTCCGACGATTTGGAAAGAGGCGGAAGTGGCTGTTGTGGCTCCTGACGCCTATATTAACAGAAATACAAACGTCTCAAAGTTATGTCGAATAAATAAAATAAAAATAAATCTTAATTTTTTTCTTCTTCAAATAAATAAGTTCGTCATAAAGGCTTAAAATTGAAAGTTAAGTATACTTTTAGAACTGAACCATACTACTACTACATACTATAGGCCAATATAATATAAATAAGTTCGGACGCAAATATACACTAATAATTTGTCAAGTCTTTTCGGAGGAGCTTTTTTAATTTAGATTATTAAGAATTTATTTTTTATTTGGTTAAGGTCACTATTCCACGCGGGCAAAGTCGCGTCTAGTTTTTTTTAATATATTAAATAATATTAATATGAACGTATTGACTTTGAATATAATAAAAATCATATTAGTATTGTACTTACATGCTTGATAGGAGGTGGAACGAAGCCTTCTCGGAAATAAATATATTTTGTTGCTTCTCCTAAGTTATTTCTGGCGACACATTGGAAAACTCCATATAATTGGGTTGAATTTGTTGTAATGTGTATAGGGAAGTAATAAGTGTCGGATTTTTCGTTTAATTTTTCCACAAACTGTTTCTTTACATTAAAATCATCCAGCGATTGTTTCTCGTTACCTAAATATCTGTTGAAATGTGTATTTACATTTAATTATTAGAATATTTATGATATTTGTACATTATAAAAAATGTATGTTGTGTTCTAAAATACATGACAATAATCAGGGGCATTTTTATAATATATAATAAGTGTAGCATTTTTCGTTTAATTTTTCCACAAACTGTTTCTTTACATTAAATCATCCAGAGATTGTTTCTCGTTACCTAAATATCTGTTGAAATGTGTATTTACATTTAGTTATTAAAATATTTATGACATTTGTACATTATAAAAAATATATGTTGTGTTCTAAAAACACATGACAATTATCAGGGGCATTTTTTATAATATATAATTAGAAGGGCAAACAGATTTACGGCCACCACTGCTAATAATGCTGATAATGCCCGCGATTTTAGTTAGTACACTAATATGTTATTCAGTCAATATGTTTCAGAAATTATTCATTTATTTAAATTTTATTGAATTTTGTACAAGAGGCGGGTTTAATGCTAATAGCATTTTGTACCTGCCAACCTTAGGGAGTTCACAGTTTCTTAGGGAGTTAACACTCAAAAGCGTTTTAGTTTATTAAATATATAATTTTAATAATTAAAGCACAATAAAAAATATTCATGAATGTCAATTTACGTGATTATTTCAGATCAACGAACAAATTTAAGTTGTATTTTTTTTATTGAATAATATTTGAGTGTAGTCAATATATCATATCAGTTTTACTTCAATACTTACATCCATGTTATATTTGGCTTGGGGTTTGCCTCGCTTTCACAACTCAGATTAACTGTTTTCCCATTCCAACCCCATATAGTTTCATTTGGTTGTTTGAAATATGGCTTTTTCAATACAGACAAATACATCGTCTTGGTTACAAAGTCAACTGTAGCAAAATATATATATTAGAAAAATGGCTATGTGATCAATTTATATGCGGTCGAAGTGGAAGCGAGAGGTATACAAACAAAATCTTTCGACAATCTTCTAAAAGATGCTCTAGCAGACTACCAGATTTTGCTGGGCAGGGAGAGATTCACGAGCGGTGAAGGTGAGTGTTAACGTACGGCGACAAAGGGGTCTCATTGACCTACACTTGGGTCACAAGTCCCGGCACGCTGAATCCATGGAATTAAGCATTCCATAGATTCGCGGATATTGGAATTTCATTCATGGAAGTTCTTCTCTGTCTTAAAGTCTACTAATACTGTGAACCATTATTATATCTAACCCATACTTGATTACATAATCAGATGTAAAATGAGAGTAGATTTTGTTATAACATAAGTAAACTTCAAAACTATTGCACCAATTTGAGATACTCTCTGTTTGGTAGGTGCATACTAAGCTTTATTATCTATTTTGTTTTTTAATATATATACGATATAATTTTCTCAAGTGATTTATGCTACATATTAACGTAATATCTAGGAACTCAAAGTTAAAACAATATTAGAAAGTACAACATACCTTTACAATATAAGTAATAAAATATCTAGCTAAAATACATCATAGTAGAAATAATAAGATGTTAATGAAAATGCATCAAGTATTCAGAATGTAATTTAAAGTCATATAAGAAACTTTTGTATAACCAACTGATATTTTCCCGAGTATATTAGAATCCAGGGTGGCAGTAATAGGACGGAAGCTATCTGCTCTCAGAGTAATTTTGTCAATGATGTTTAATATTATCAGAGACTATATTCCACTGAGTAAACATATAGTTAGTCTCCAGACGGGGTAATAAATCAATAGAACATGACTTTGAGTATCATGACTATAAAGTTCGCTTGTTATTAGTGACTCACGTTATAAATTCTATTAACTAATGCTATATGTATAGCTGGTCTAGTTTAGGTTAGGGTTTAGCACACCTCTTTGCTTATAATGGTTGCAGGTTCGATTCCTCGTACGATACAAACATTTGTATTTTGTGTGACTGAATATGTCTGGCCGGGGTGTTTTCAAAATACATTACGTATGTATTTATTTAAAAATTGTGTATAAGAATTCTTGCTAGTTATAGAATACCCATAGCACATGCTCATTAGTGAACAATCATCAACATTAATTTGGGACTTCATGGAGCTGTGTGAATTGTCCGGGATTGTTATTTTTATTAAATAATCTTAAAAATTAGACTTACTTTCATTACTGGCGTTACAGATATAAAAACCTTCATACGATGAGTCTACTGTTATGAATGACAAATTGTTCAAAATATCATCCTCAGTAGATTCACTGAAATGAAAATATAAACTTAAATATTATAAAACAAAAATAAAAATTTATCCTTGTATTAAAAACATTTGAATTCTAAATTGACAAAAATGTCATAACATGTCTTTGGATGCAGGTTCGATTCTTGGCACGATGTACCCATGAGTATGATTATTGTATCAGTCAGGGTGCTTTTTAGGCATATTTTATTTGTATTTACAAAAAAATGCATTAAAGTACTTCTATCATTTGTTTAGAACCAAAAAAATGCTCAGAAACCTAAAAAAACTACATTTAACAAACCTAATAGTTGAGGTCGATATATTTTTATTCACAAAAATTGACTGTAATAAATATTATTTTTTTAAATATAAATTGAAGGAATTGGAAACAATATAAATGAACATTAAGTATTGGCCTCTAGTTAATGTATAAAAACAAGAAATATAAATTTATATGTGTTTCCATAAAAAAAATCTAAGCGTAGTACGTAGAGTGTTTAAACCCGCATCATATAACGGGGCCAGTGCATTACCAATTGAGATACCGATGCCTCAGATTCTCTGTTCCCGTTTCGAAACTATCAATCATTACTCATGGTGATGCACTGAGAAAACATTACATCATTATAGACGATTGTTCAACCGCTTAGTAATGAACATTTCACCAGTTTTAAACAAACAGACTATAAAAAAATTATGATTCTTAAGTCTTCTATATTTATACGTATATACGAAAAATACACCAATACGGAAATAAATTATATAAAAATTTCCTAACAAAAGAGGCACTTGGTAGATTTGGCTGGAATGGCAACATATTTTGGATACATTGACATTCCGGAAGTATGGTTGACTTGACAGTATCTAGTAATTTCACTGTTTATCTCTTTGAACAAAGAGACAGCTTCCAATAGCTGCATTAGTGAGATTGCGGTATATATGTATAGTATTTTATATAAATTCTACGTAGGTTATATAACGTATACCTACTTGTCAACCATCAATCTTAAAAAAGTAACTTGATCAATTTCGTCGGACAAAGTAAATTTTAAGATTTCTTTATTAGCCAGTCATTAGTGATTGATTGATAACTTGACTAGAGAGATTAACAGTAGATTTTGCTTTTAAATATTTAGTTTCAACTAGCTAGTTGCGACTTCGTGCCCGCGATAATCGGAATAATAATCGTTCTAATATTATAAACGGGAAAGTTTATGACTATGGATGGAAGTTTGTTATCCTTTTGCAATAACTACTGAACGGATTTTGATGATTTTTTGAAGTAATATGTAGCTATATAATATAATAGTATTATATAATATAAAACTTATAACTATCGAGCTGTACCTGCGGTTATACCAGCGTGAAATTTATAGTCTTATACATCAGAAAACCACATTATTCTGATGTATAAGACTATAAATTTCATGCTGATAAAACCGCGGGTATACCTCGTTAGCTATAAGTTTTATGTCATGTAAATTGATTGGCAAATCACGTAGATTACATTTTAAGTGACGCCTACAGCATTACATTGGATAAAACTGCATCCAAATCTGTTTACCTGTTTTAGAGATTCCCGGCAAAAGATAAACAAAATTTAATAAACATTTTTATATGTTCTTTTGGGTTATAAAGACCTTCAAAAATATTTTACTCGTATATATTCTAAGCACAGACAGGAACAATTTACATTTTTATTACATCAATCATACTAACCTGAGCTCCTCATCATTACCGTTTCCTATGAAAATGATGGAGACGTTAGGTGTCGGTCGGCCGATTGTGTTGCAAACTATTTGCGCAACCGATCCAACGGGGACAGTTTTATTACTAAATTCCGTTATTTGTGGTGGAACTAAAACCTGCGAAAATAATAATTAATACGAATATATATTTTATATTCTTTTATAGCATTAGGTGTTACTTTGTGAAAGTCCATTTCATTGCCGAATAAATTTATATTGCTTTGTTTAATTCCGCTGCTATTATCGGCACTAAATGTTTGTAGGGTGTGACCACCAACATTAAACCTGACCACCGCTACCAGATGCGTTACGACCATCCGCACTAGTGATCATACTCCGACTATTATCGAATATACATCCATATTGCGACACGTGCTTCGCCTCTAAACGAGACATCATCAGGCAATGCATAGAGTTTGCATATAGTTACAGGTAGTAGTCGCTTGGCCAGGTTACACACACATACTAACATAATTTAAAAAAAATAATAAAAATCTTTAAGTTTTTTTTTTCCCTTAATTATAGGTAACTATCATATTAAAAGTAAAGATTTTGTACAAGGTAGTTTTGGGTAGGAACTTCTGTCTCACCTATTTCAGCCGCCTAACAGCTTGTTTTATAAGATATATTGTCGTTGAAAGGTGAGAATGCATTGCTATTATAACAGAAATACGTCTTTTTAGACCTCCGGAATAGCAACGCATAAGTGGTACCAAGGGCATCAGTAGACAATGTGCTATTCATCATATAGACGACAGTTACCACTTAGCATCATTTTGTTTGCCATTATAAGAAACATTATATAAATAGTTCTATTTTCTTTTTTAATACATTTTGCAAATCTATACATATAAATAAAATTGGAGTATCTGTTTGTAATATTGAAATAACCATTTTTGCTACTTGAATATGAATATAAATACGATACATACACCAACATAACATTTTTTACAATTTTGTCTGTCTGTCTGTCTGCCTGTTTGATCCGGCTAATCTCTGAAATGGCGGGTCCGATTTTGGCGGGACTTTTTTTGGCAGGTAGCTGATGTAATAAGGAGTAACTTAGGAAGGATACTTTTATTTGAAAATAAAGTTAAATTCCACGCGGACGAAATCGCGCGTACAGCTAGTCTTAATAAATGCTTAACAAACTTTTGAGAGTTTTGTATACATTCCTATAATATCGTATAGTCTAGCTAGAATAATGAATAATTTTTAAATACAAACAAACAAAAAATTACTTTTATTCTATAGATAAATAATACTGTTCTATCAATATGAAATCCTTGCATATTGGAAACCTATTACGAGTTGCATTCAGTTTCGAAGTTTGCTAGTTCTGCATACTCTAGCTTTGAGAAGTTTACGTGGTTACTACGGATCAACTAACTAGGATATTAGTCTTTAATGAAAATGTTGTATAACCCTAACTGTAAAATGACATTCTTCTTGATCAAATGAATGTTACTTAAAATATTTGCCTTTTTTATATTTTATACAATATCCCTGTGTTTATTATTCTCCTCCAATAAATTATTTCATTCTAAACCGTTTTACCCTATTTTATGTATTATGTCCAAGAATTGATTAAATTACAACTAGGAAAATTAGTAGATTTTTATAGTCTTATGAACCGTCTTCAAACTACAAGTAATATTAATTAAAAATAATAGCTAAATTATTATGCGCTTTCCAAATTACCAGATTCATTTTTAGTTCTATAAATTAACGAGGTTAGCTAAACCTCGAGCGTAATAAAATCTTTACTTGTGAAATATGAACAATATATGTAATGAACTTAATTATTTTTAAATCAGTATTAATAATACACCAATAACAATACACTACTAGGTAACTACTGGACTTAGGATCAAATTGGAATCATTATTGTAGGAAACTCCAATGTTTTTGAAAAGAAAGTTAATGGAATTATTAAAATAGATAAGTATCTATTTATTTTAACGATTCCCATTTATAATATTAGTTTTGATAAAAGAAACCAATTAATCTATTTTTTTTTTCTGCTTAAGAACTTTACCTCAATTACGAGTTGTTTCTTCGCTTCGCCAGCGTTATTTTTTGCTGTACATTCGTAAGTTCCTTGGTCTTCTCCTGTTATGTTCTCAAACAATATTTTGTTTTCTAAGACGATCCAATTTGTATTATTTACAGCTGGGTTCTGAAACATTTTTACAATACTGGTTATCCAGATATTTACGTAAGGCCTAAAAAATTCTATTATAATATTCTAATTTGGAATATTCTTGCTTAATATAAACAAGAAATTTAAAATTATAGTAATATTAAAACATGTTTTAAAAAAATATTTAAAGCATATCTATTTCAATTTTTTGATTTAATGTTGAAATTTTAAATTTGGTCTTATTTGTAGTGCATCCTGCAGTCAGTGCTATATTTTATTAATAATAATAATTTTTTGATACCATATTTGCAAATTTATAGTTATTCTCATAAAATATTGTGTTGTTATTAAACACACAAAGAGAATTCAGAGAATTTACCACTAGTATCTAAACTGGGCCAAGCTAAGCAATTTCTTCGAGGAACAAATACGTAAAGAAATTGCTATGTAACGCAAATTAGAGAATTTATTTAAGTTTGGCATCATGGGTGTCCGAAACCCGACCGCACATGTGATTCATTAGTACTATGGCTATTTGATATGTAAAAATGAAGCATGCCCCACGGTTTTAATCCCGTTCAATTTCAGAGTAACGTCAGCCCTTTCTCCGGCTCCCGAATTATATGCATTATCGCATAACCTACCCGAGGTAATACTTTTTTTCGTACGAGGCTATTCTCACTGTTGTTTTACACAGCTTCTCGAGGTCGTAGCGAGATGTTTAAAAGCCTTCTTTAAGAATTCGCTAATCAAACGATTTTTTTCAAATCCTACTGACAGTTTCTGATTAGAACGTGACAAAGACACAAGGAAACCGTTTTGCTTCATATCATATTTATAAATAGATAAATACCATACCGTGTTTGTAATCTTGCTCCAAGTAAATTCAGGGTACGGTACACCATCAGCAATACATTCTAACGTTAATGCTTCTCCAGCAATTAGCGTTCGGTCTGGACTGGCTACGAGATGTTCTATTTTTGGCTCAATCATTACCTATATAAAAAGCATTGTCTCTATCAATGTAATGCAGATTCAGTGTTACAGTTTGACGACCTCGGTGGTCCAGCGGTTTACCTTCGATGGTCGCGGGTTCGAATCCGTGTAATGTATAATAATTTTCATAAGTATGATTGTTTGTATAGGTCTGGGTGTTTTCAATATATTTACAAAAAAGGTATCCATTTATTTATATCAATTGTCTAGTACCCATAACAAGCTCTGCTTAGCGAGATCGGCGTTGTGATGAACATAATACTTGATATACCCATATTTAGTGAGCCAAATTATATTTTAATCCGACGTTCCCTGTTTGCCTACTATAGTCTCTCAGAGTAATTCTGACTGACAGACTGATGCGGTGATCGAAATACCGATAAAAATCCAAATCTATAATCTAATCTAATCCGAGAGACTGTAGTAGACTAACATAGCAATTGATACAGAAAGTTTAAAAATCGGTAAATACAAACAGTATCGGGGTAATACAACAATTACTATTTGAAAGTAGCATCTAATACTTATCTATGAGTGTATACATTTAAAATAATATCAGATGCTATTTTAAAAATAGGATAAGAAGGCTTACTTCGACAGCAATCTCCATATCCACTTCCTCGCTGTACTTTAGGTCCAACACTGAGCAAAGATAACTGCCGGCATCTTCTTGTGTTACATTTCTTATAAGAAGTCCATCGGAAAATATTTCATACTTGTCGTCGCTAAATATCTGAAAAGATTTTATGACGATAACAGACTTCATGACTTAAATATATGCTATTATATCTACACATATTCTTATAAGGATTTCTATTTCGAGAATTGAAAACAAATCATACATATTTTTCTATCATCATTTTCATATTCTAGCGTCTCGATTCTAGTAGAATATACTGACAAGGTTACTCGCATTATTAAGAAGTAAAAATGTTCAATAGATGTATTACTTTACTTAAACGTTATGTAATATTTTATGATTAATGCTTACTAAAAAATAGTAACAATATCATAAACTTTGACTTTTGGGTTCATCATAGTTTTTTAGAATGCGCGGCGTAGATGATTAACTCAACCTGATTAGTCCCGCTTTTTTTAAATTAAGAAATGTGTTTATAATATAGAGATTATTCTATAAATTAAATAAAAAACATACCTTTATGAGGTCGTCAGATTTTTTATGCCAGCTGATCATGGGAAGAGTGACGGCAAATGTCTCGCATTTTATTTTGGAATCTTTTCCCAATGAAATGAATTGCTTATCATCCTTGCGGATTGAAGGTCGCTCTGTAAAATACATTGTATACTTTTATTAAAGCAGTAATAATGTGAGAGATATTCTGGTCTTTAGTACAATACGGAGGTAGATTCTGTACAATGCCATCTGCGTATACACGCAGATGCATATGCAATGCATACGCATTTGCCTCTTCTATTTCGGGCGCCATGCTTAGTTTATAAGCTCTGTTTCAGTTGAAGGCAAGACATGGCTCTGAAATTACAGGATACTGAGCCATAACAACTTGCTTTGGTACCCAGGGGGGTAATAAAAATCATCCGGTATTGGAAACGCATGAAGTACCAGCGTTATATGTCGACGTGAGGACTATGGTCCCGTTTCTGCGGATTCAGGGGCGTTTCATCCCGCCTATACTTAGACTGGGTTGTAGTTTTGTTACTACCATGTTGACGGGCGTTGACTGTGACCTACCATGAGTTGTGTTATCAACTTCGTTATCATTGTATTTACATAAAAATACAAAAAGTACAAAGGAAGTTATAATAGATACACTATATTAAAACTCAGAAGACGATGGTTGATTGTTGTTGATGGTAATTTCAGAGCAATTTTGATTTGTAACTTCGAAGACTCGTTAATTCTGTAGTAACCACTATATAGGATGTAAATGGTTCGCACATTTTTATTGCGCTATTTGCTTCACTGTGAATTATTTCGAGCAGAGGTTCAGAACATAATTCATACTTACCGTAAACATCCAATATATATTGCTGAATTTCATTACTGCTTCCATTATTGTGTTCATTAATACACTTGTAAGCTCCCGACATAGTTTTGCTTAAACTCGGTATATGTAGACTGATTTTGTTCTGTTGTATTTCTGTATACATATCCGGTTTTGGACCTGATCTTATGAAAATAATTGTTGGGTGGCATGCTTTATTTTAAACAGATTTGTTGTACAAAATAAATGATATCTAAATAAACTAAACTAACTTAAAATAGAACACAACAGTAGTAGTAGTGAAATAGAATAGTATAGCAATTTATATAACGAAAGTAATTAAAAAAAATTATAACCTATTATTGTTCCTCTTTTCCGAGAAAATGAGCCTTAATATTTAGTACTAAGTATGTTATTAAATCAACTTAAAAAAAATTAAAACAATCATATTAAATTGAAATTATCGAAACAATCCATCAAATATATACTAGAAAATGCACTACATATACAGATTCTAATAAATGCAAAACTTACCGTAATGCTTCAATTTCCTTGTTGTTAATATCCAACCATTTAAGATTGGCTTTTACCTTTGAACCAATACAGTGGCATTCGAGATATATAGGTGTGGTTGCTCTTTTTGATTCCTGTATAATTGGTGGACTAATAGATATATCATTATTACACGAGTAAGATCCTGGAACAAAAAGATAAAAATGATTATTGTAAATATTTATTAAAAAAATCTTTATCGTATTTGCTATAACGCGCGCGGAAACTTAGTGAAATATTAAATATTATATTTTTTTTATGCTAATGTGTATTGTCATATGTGCTTATCTTACTCAAACCTTTGTTAGTGTTTGTTAGCTGTAAAAGAAGAACAAGCTTCGGACCAAAAATACAACATACGCTTTCACATATGTTGTATTTTTACTAACATTGAATATTTTAATGTCAACTTATATAAAGCTTTGTTTTTTTCCCACAAACAAGAATATTATAATTTTAAGCAAGAGATTATTCAACCGTGTCATGAATTATCCAACCAAAGCAATTTCGAATGTCAGGTAGGAGATTGGAGGAGCTTTTCCATGGAGGATCTTATTAAAGTTTGCTGAAAGTCAGTTGAAAGGAAAGATCATAATCTAAAGCGTCGGTAATGTAATATCAAGTTTTATAAAAGTTCATCTATCGATGACTGAGTTTTCAGTAGGAATACAAAATTAGAAAAGTGACTAGTCTTCTATGAAATGATTGTCTAGATTAGATAAGCAGTAAGCCGTCTAATTTTAAGATTATTTGAGGGGTACTTCGGAAAATTCATATTTGAAGCATCTAATACATTGGACACATATAAGTGATAATTTTCAAAATTACCTAGATTAGCAATAGAAATATGCGTATACATTCATTATTATTAAATATAAATTTTAATAAAATAATAACGTTATATTTATTTTTCATATGTACCGTCAACCCGAGCGATACAGCGATATTAATTTTTATGGCAAACCAACAATTTCCAGATCAGTTAGTTATGAAATGCAATAAAATGCTACAGGAAAGGACCTAATTAATCTACAACTTTGGACTCGTGTCATGTCAATTGGTAGAAATAATAAGTTTACCCCCACGGGCTATTATGAGGAAACCCCATAGAGACTATAATGAAATAACATTGAGTAGCCAAAAATAGTTTCGGAATGTCTTTTCGCATGTAATCAATAATGAAAGCTTGCTGGGGCTCTATTGAGAAGAACTAGTAATAAGAAACCAATTATTTTGGTATATTATGTATATATAAAATAATTATTTTTTATATATGTGGTTGAATGAATAAATAAATGTAGAGTAACAACAGTTCATTTACACATTACAGTAAATGAACTGTTGTTACCCTATATTAATTTAGAATATATATTTTAGAAGTATTTGTAAATCAGGACACGTTGTTTACTTTTTTTATGGTGGCAAACTAGCATGCGGCCTATCTGATGGTAAATTGTTAACGCAGCCTATGGACGCCTATAAACACTAGTGGTGTCACGGGCGTGTTGCAGTTCCTTAAGAAATCTTAACCTTCTTGAAAAACCCCCGTGCTGTAGGCTCTTGAGAATATAGTATTGGCACTAGTACTCAGACTAGTGCTCGCCCATTTTAAGTTTGAAGGTTCTATCGTCAGAGTTTAAATGTGTGTGTATGACCACATGTAAGATAATATGAGTAGTGTTATTTTTTTATCATTATTATAAAAATGCTTTCTGCACTCTTTTTACTTATAAATTTTAACTCTGCCCAATTTCAGACATGGGGAACAAAGTGTTTGTGTTTAGGTATCAATATCTTGATTATTATTTGTGAAAAGCCGTATATATTGTTTTGATATATCAAACGACCAATTTGTGCGATAATTAATTTCAGAGACAATCCACATAAGTGACTGTAAAATAGTTTTTTGATCTTGAAAGCAATAAAGTTTTGACCTCATAGAAATAGTGCATAGTATCCATTTTATTGCCATCGTAAAACATTGAGATACATCTCACAAAATTTAATGGGTCGAGTAATTGTAGTTTAATAAACAAACTATAATGTGTATTTTATGTGTTTGGGTCCAGTTATAATTACTGAATTGTAAACATTCTTGTATTCATGTATCCAGGAAGAGAATCTCTGGTCTGTGGCGTTTATAATGTTCTTATCCGGTAAAATAGAAATGAAGCGAAAACTGTCTATTGGTGTATTTTGGTTACATATAAAAATGGCTGCAAGAATTAGGTTGAAATTTTCACAGAATATTTTATTAAATAAGTCAAAAGCTGAGAAAAATATCAAAGGGCTGAAGGAATTTTTTTTCAAATATTTTTTTTAATACACTGCTATTTTATTTATTAAATAACCAATAGGTTACGAATACATCTAGTATACAAAATTAAAATAATAGTATGAACTGCAAAGCGATACGATAGCTTCATAAATCAACACAATGAAATATTAATTCTACTATGAATTATATTGTATTCCGCCATCTCTACGGTACCATGCTCAATATTTAATATTGTCCAACGTAACGTCTGAATTAATGTTACTTTGTTTACAGGCAACATTGTTTAAATTTTAACCATTATGTCTGTTACAAATATTCAGTAACTGTTGAAAATAACTTCCTCAGAATGGAAATTCTTTTTTTTTATTTCTTCAAAATTATAGCTAATTATTTATGTCTGCGGTTTCATTCACATGAAATTTATAGCCTATATGTTATTCTGATGTATAATATTACTGTAAAGTTTTATCAAAATCCGTCCAGTAGTTTTTTTGTGAAAGAGTAACAAACATGATGGACTATCTATATAAACATTGCCATTATTTAGAATAATATAAAAAATGTAAATCGGAATATAATTAATATTTAACGATTCGTTATAATTCGGTAGCAGACATAGGTGAACAGGTACCTGTTTAACTATGTCATATCCATATTCAGCAATGAATGATGTCACATGCAATATATTGTTGTTTAGGTTAAATAATCTTAACTTACTATTCACTGTAACCTCATACCACAAAGAGATGTACCTAATCTAAATAAAGATAAAAGTGACATCATACTTATTGTGGTTGTAAGCCTGGCGTCATATTATCAGGTTCACTCTGGATAGTCATCATCGGCTTCTTCCTTATCCCATTTATTCGCCGTTGGCGTAATTTGTATTTCTTTTCCTTTCACCTCTTTTCGCAGTCATCTCGTTATTTGCTCCCTTTCTTACCATATCATCTTTCACATAATCCTTCCATCTCTTTTTCGGTCGTCCGCCCTTATAACCATCCATGCATATGTAACACCTTCAGAACGCGACGTTAATGTTCTGTTGGTAAATTTCTAAAAATGTAATGGTGGGCACTATATATCGAATCGAACTGCGTCATTGAAAGGAACCGTCCGACTCGTATCGTATATGTGTGGACGATCTAACACGACAGTTTTTACGACAATTTGTCTAATCTAGCCGGTTCTTGTTGGATAATATAATTCATGTGGTTAACTTTTCTTATTACAATTTTAGTGGACACAAGGTCGAAATAATTAAGATTGCTGAGTATGTACGCAATGTGCAACTAATAAAACATTACGTTAGAATTGGTAGTGAAATTTTTATTACGCATATGTCGTTCAAGGTTTAAGTAATAATTTCATTATGCACATTTTCGTATGTTTATATTCAGACGATACGTATTAACCGTTAAATATTTTATTACGTAATTAATCCTTAAATACCTTTTTAACTTCCAACGGCGCTAAATTATAACCTATCGGTAAATTTTAGACAGTAATTAGAACTGTACCATTTCAGGTCAACTTCCATAAAGTCTTCCCTGAAATCCTGGACCATAATGGATAATTCTTAGTGTATTCGCCACGATGGGCTAAATTACCTTCAACCTCATCCTGTCATCCTCCACTAACATCACACATCTAGCTACTATTTTATAGTCATCCAATGACAATTGAAGTACCATCAATATTGAACAATATTGATGGTACTTCAATTTTTATTGGATATAATAGAATAAAAATAATAAGCCAAAAATAAAAAAGAAAAACACAAATTATTAATAAAATTGGAAATCCAACAACAGCATAACAAGCAATATCCACCCCCTGAATTGTCGGTTCGTTAAAGGGAAAGCATTGAAAGTGCTGCAGAATACGATTTAATGTTATTACTCCCAAGTGTAGGAATTAGCACATGGAAAACATCGTAGGGGCAGCCCTTGCCAATCTTGTTTCCATGAGGAAATAGAAAAAGTATTGATGTGTGACTGTTTATGGATGTTGTGAAGTTGAAGCATAAGGTATTTTATGATATAAATCACATCTTATTATCACGGTTTTTGAAGTTTTAATAAATTTAATATTGGCCACGGTATATTTATATTGCGACATGTTTATTAATTGTTTCGTTGGAAGGAACAGAATAGGTAATAAGATGCTTCACAATGATCTCAATCTCTGGATTGTAATATTATAACAGCGAAAGTGTTTATATATTTGTTTAATAGCTTTTCACGACTAAACAGCTGAATGAATCTTAATGAATTTTTTTCTAAAGATAGATTATGTCATAAGGGTGAATAGAAGCTGTCTTTTATCTAATAACAAAAACCCAGGATTATTTACAAAGCGTCATCTAGTCCCAGACTAACCAGAGTTTAGACTATGAGTACCTACTACAAAAACTAATGGAAAAACATGTATGTACATGTTTTATACATACATTACATACATAGAAAACACGGAGACCGAGAGACGACCGAGATACAAATGTGTGTAGGTACTGTACCAGGAATCAAACCCATGACTGTCACAAGTAAGGCGGTGGGCTAAACCTGTAAACCGTCGAAGCCGTCTATTACCGTTATATAAAAAAAAACAGACGAAGTCGCTGCTGACAACTAGTAATGTAGTATCCAATATGTTGTTTTTAGGCTTTTTTACCTCACGTTCTAGCCTGTGCTTATAATTAGCGCTATGAACTAATCTATTATTATGTGAGAGGTAATGTACTGACTGCTCTATTCTGTATACTGAAATACAACGGACGTAGTTGCTATATGGATGAAATTCTGCTACACTAAACAAAGGTTAAATAGAGGTTAATTTGTAGAGTGAAACGCACACCACCTATTCGT